GTAATAAAGTTTAATCGCAACATTAGTTTTGCCACGATACTTTGTTGCTTATTTCATACTCAGTGTGCTTTGCTTTGATATTTGCTAACCCCTGCTCGTATCCTCTCTATATAAGCTTATAGGTATATTTGGTTTTGTTTTTGGTGTGTCCGTTATATCGATACCAGTCAATTGGAAGTACTCCTTAAAGGGGTACTACCCAATTTTAGTTTATTTCTTGCATTCACATTATTCGGGTTCAAGCCCATACTAGGTGGAACTGGTACCACCATCCTGACCAATTTCCCTGATTCCAGGTCCATTCTAAGGGTTGGCTAAGGATCCAGGGAAATTTTCATTTTATTCTCATTAAAATTATATACACTTCGACTCCAAATGAGTCGTTCTAGCCTATTTAAGGTTATTTTTCTATATATAACAATTCTGTGAATTTGATGTGCTTTATGTGTTAAGGATACTTAATATTAATACTCTGATCTTGATCAAGGATCACTAATCGATAATGTAAATAACCTACTTAAGGGCATCTCTTTATACACACTTTCTTCTATATATGAAAACTCTGAACTTGATGTGCTTTATGTGTTAAGGATACTTAATATTAATACTCTGATTTTGATCAAGGATTTCTAATCGATAATGTAAATTTCTGTACTTGTATACTCTGGTCTTATCTTTGTATTGTATTTATGTTGTATATATGTATTTTATGTCCTATATACACTTGGATGTTATGTCAGGATCCATATAAAAATAATATATACATTTCTTTTTCCTGTATCAACAAATTAATAAGTCTTTCAAAGCTTGTCCGTTATTGGCAATTAAGTATTAGACTTTCTTTCTAATTAATGTAATTAAGTATTGTTGATAAGCAGTATACTATTTCCAGCTGTTAAACTACTTGCTTAGGATACTGATTCACATGTGTATTTTATAATTGTGATTGTTTAACGTTTGTTATAAATATTGTAAAATTGAATCAGCTTGTATCAGCTGGACAAAGACCTTTGGGGTCGAAACGTTGCTGTTGTGGTTCCTAATAAAGTACCTGGACCTCTACTACTTTACAAATTTTTGGAAATCTGGTGTTTGATTTCCAGTTCAACAAGCACCCTGGCTCAGATTTATGGGAGTGAGTGCAGTTCCACACAAATTACTACTATATGGGAAGCCGCGGCATCGCTGTCGATCTGCGTAACACACGTAGAACAGGGCATACAAGATGCTATTCCGCTGGTACCTTACACCTCAACGATTAGCCATCATCCATAGATCCGCATCCAACTCATGCTGGAAAATGTGCGGAGAAACCGGAACGTTCCTCCATTGCTGGTGGACCTGTCCTAAACTGAAACCCTTATGGATTAGCGTCACCACCAGGGGAGGGCTGGCAGCCTTAGGCCTGGGGGGGCAAAACCAGTCAAGTGGCCCAAATCAGTTGACCATCCATGCCCACCTTTTCCTGGTTTTATATTGGATACTGATGTTATGCTAATCAGTAGCTCTTTGCCATACCCGCTCCTTCACGGCGCTGACTTTCAATGCTGTCAGAGTGCAGGCTGAGAATCTCTGTGACTGTGCTCTGACTCACTAACTGAGCGTCGGAACCATGAGGGAGAGGCTATAATCTGACTGCACCTACTGCTGGTGAGCACCAGTGGACCACCAGCGAATCATTTAAATTGAATATGCTGGTGTACCCAACTTGTGAGCTGTGTTGGCCGCCGGGCGCCTCTGTTGTCATGGCACCCTGCGTGACCGTACAGCTTGCACACCCCAACGGCTGGCCCTGCTGACACACACTGACATTACTATTTAGACATCCCTCAATATCAATACAGACATCAGAGTAAACGCCAATAAACAGTGGAAACAGAGCTGATCCCCCCAAATTTATGAAGATTTGCTTACTGGATTTGTTGTAAGATTAAATCATGCTGCCTCCTCTCTCTCTCCCATGCGCTGCTCTGTAGGCTGGGAGGAATTGAAGAGAAATCACATTCTCCCAGCACAGAGCCACCTGTGGCTGCATGGGGAACAGCTGTTTAATGTAATGCTTGCAGGACGGCCAGCTGCCGCAGAACCTCTTTGTTCCCATCTCTGCAAAGGGCTCCAGGCACTGCTTGTTGTGAGTGTGAGCCACTGTAAATTAGGGGCATAGGACACTTGCACTGCGGTAAAGACCGGTCTGGGCAGGAGGAGAGTGCAGTGCAATCAGTGCACTCCCCTCCTGTGGGTCACCAGTAGACTGGTGCACCTGCCCAGGATCAGAGCTGGTGCAAGGATTTTTGCCGCCCTAGACAAAATAAAAAATTTGCCTCCCCCCCCATGTGACATCACAATGCCCCAACCATATGATCTGCCATATGAACTAATGCCAGTGCTGCACACAGTGCAGGGACCGGCTATAGACACCAGAACCACTTCATTAAGCTATAGTGTCCCTTTAATGTGAGGTAAATTATAGATTAGTGTCATTAATAATATACTAGATTTCCTACTTACAACCAGATAAGGATGATGATGGGCAGCAGTTTGGCTCCACTGGTCTGGTGTAGAACAGGATCTCTGGAGGCTGTTTGCAACTGTGTTCACAAAATTCAATGTTCTGGGAGAATTGGAAGCAGCTCCATTTTTTGGGGGCCCCCTTACACAGTTTAAGGTCTGGGCCCCAGGGCCTGACGGGGAGTATGCCCATAAGGCCCAGTCATAAGTCCACTTATATGTTCCACCCACCCATGAGTTCGCTCACAGGGAGTGGAGTGTGTAGGGGATGTGTTGTGTTATTGTAGAGGATCTAATATGTGTGCTTATGGTATGTAGTGTATAGGGATACCAGTTTGTGTAGGTGATGCAGTGTGTTTGTGTGTAGTGGAAGCAGTGTGTATTTGTGTATAAGGGATGTATTGTGTGTTTCTGGTTGTGTGTAAGGGATGCCTTGTGTGAATCTGTGTTTGTATGCATAAGGGATGCAAGGTGTGTGTCTGTATGAGTGTGCATTGAGTGTAAGAAAAGCAGTGTGTGTGTGTTTGCATGTGTGTGTAAGGGTTGCATTGTGTGTGTGTAATGGATGCATTGTGTGTTTCTCTGTGTGTAAGGGAAGCATGTTGTGTTTCTGTGTGTGTAGGGATGCATTGTGTGTTTCTGTGTATGTATAAGGATGCATTGTGTGTGTGTGCGCGCGTAGTGTGAAAGAGCTTCATGTCTTGCCCCCTGTTCTATAGAGCTGTCCCTTCTGTCCCTTAGAGCTCTTCCCTGCCCCTTAGTGGTCTCTCCTCTCCCCCACCCTCCCCTAGCGGTCTCTTCTCACACTCACCCACCCTCCCTGTGCTCTTCTCATCCCCCCCTCCACCCTCCCTGTGTTCTCCTCACCCCCTCCTCCTGTGATCTTACTTCCCCCCCTCCTTCTTACTCCCCTCCTCCTTCTCTACTCCCCCACCTTCTTCTTCTTCTTCCTCCTTCCTTCTTCTTCTTCTTCCTCCTTCCTTCTTCTTCTTCTTCCTCCTTCCTTCTTCTTCTTCTTCCTCCCTTCCTTCTTCTTACTCCCCTCCTTCCTTCTTCTTACTCCCCTCCTCTTTTTTTTATCCCGCTCTTCTTCTTACCCCACTTTTTTTATTACAACCCCTTCTTACTCTCCCCCCTCCTTCTTCTTAATCTCCCCCCTCCTTCTTACTCTCTCCCCCCCTCCCCTTCCCTGTAGCGTGGCCGAGCTCCTCTCCGGTCCGCAGTGCCACTCTCAGTGTGCACTTCCTATCAGTCCGACTGGGTAGAGGAAACAGAAACTCCTGTTCCGAGTTTCTGTTTCCTGTAACCGGCCGGACTGACAGGAAGTGCACACTGAGAGTGCACCTTCCTATCACTCCGACCGGGCACAGCGGACCGGAGAGGAGCTCGGCCACACTACAGGGAAGGGGAGGGGAGAAGCTGTGCTGCAGCCGCCAGAGGCTCTTAACAGAGCACTCTGGCG